GATTTTTATTTTAAGTGATGCATCAGTCTCGCAAGTTGGCTTCTGCAGTCATAGTAGGTTTCCCTTGGAACGTCCGCATTCATCTTCTTTTCTCACACTTTTCCCTTCATATACGGAAAACAAAGTAATTTATGCCAATTTGCAGGGGATGTAGCTCAGTGGTAGAGCGCATGCTTTGCATGTATGAGGTCCTGGGTTCAATCCCCAGCATCTCCATTAGATATTATGCTCAAAGTTAAAAGGTGTTTCTGCTAAGTTGTTGGGAAATCTCATGATATGAGGAGCCATCAAATGTACCGTCCAACAAGGGAAAAAAAGCACCAACTATAATTTACCAAGTAAATACCACACCCTTACCTAATTATGTGTGTTCCAGAATTGTTCACATGGCAGTCTACATATCAGCCACTTATCCAGTATCTGATATTTCCGAAAAGTTGATTTTATTTTCAACATTGTGGGTTGTTGTGGCCGAGAGGTTAAGGCGATGGACTTGAAATCCATTGGGGTCTCCCCGCGCAGGTTCGAGTCCTGCCAGCAACGAAAATAGCTTTAGAGCGCTCTGGTCCGAGCAAAGAGTCATTTTTTGAGTCATTTTGTGATCTCCATACGTTAAAGTCCCACTTTGAAAGTCCAAATTCCCAAGGATTTTTATTTAAAGTGACGCATTCAGTCTTCCCAAGTTGGCTTTCTGCCAGTCATAGTAGGTTTTCCCTTGTAAACGTCCCCATTCATTCTTCTTTTCTCACACTTCTTCCTTTATATACGGAAAACAAAGTAATTTTTGCCAATTTTGCAGGGGATGTAGCTCAGTGGTAGAGCGCATGCTTTGCATGTATGAGGTCCTGGGTTCAATCCCCAGCATCTCCATTAGATATTATGCTCAAAGTTAAAAGGTGTTTCTGCTAAGTTGTTGGGAAATCTCATGATATGAGGAGCCATCAAATGTACCGTCCAACAAGGGAAAAAAAGCACCAACTATAATTTACCAAGTAAATACCACACCCTTACCTAATTATGTGTGTTCCAGAATTGTTCACATGGCAGTCTACATATCAGCCACTTATCCAGTATCTGATATTTCCGAAAAGTTGATTTTATTTTCAACATTGTGGGTTGTTGTGGCCGAGAGGTTAAGGCGATGGACTTGAAATCCATTGGGGTCTCCCCGCGCAGGTTCGAGTCCTGCCAGCAACAAAAATCACCTTAGAGCGCTCTGAGCAAAGAGTCATTTTTTGAGTCAATTTGTGATCTCCATACGTTAAAGTCCAACTTTGAAAGTCCAAATTCCCAAGGATTTTTATTTAAAGTGATGCATTCAGTCTTCCCAAGTTGGCTTTCTGCCAGTCATAGTAGGTTTTCGCTTGGAAACATCGGCATTCATTCTTTTTTTCTCACACTTCTTCCTTTATATACGGAAAACAAAGTAATTTATGCCAATTTTGCAGGGGATGTAGCTCAGTGGTAGAGCGCATGCTTTGCATGTATGAGGTCCTGGGTTCAATCCCCAGCATCTCCATTAGATATTATGCTCAAATTTAAGAGGTGTTTCTGCTAAGTTGTTGGGAAATCTCATGATATGAGGAGCCATCAAATGTACCGTCCAACAAGGGAAAAAAAGCACCAACTATAATTTACCAAGTAAATACCACACCCTTACCTAATTATGTGTGTTCCAGAATTGTTCACATGGCAGTCTACACATCAGCCACTTAGCCAGTATTTGATATTTCCGAAAAGTTGATTTTATTTTCAACATTGTGGGTTGTTGTGGCCGAGAGGTTAAGCCGATGGACTTGAAATCCTTTGGGGTCTCCCCGCGCAGGTTCGAGTCCTGCCAGCAACGAAATTCACCTTAGAGCGCTCCGTTCCGAGCAAAGAGTAATTTTTGAGTATTTTTTTGATCTCCACACGTCAAAGTCCAACTTTGAAAGTCCAAATTCCCAAAGATTTTTATTTAAAGTGATGCATTCAGTCTTCCCAAGTTGGCTTTCTGCCAGTCATAGTAGGTTTTCGCTTGGAAACATCGGCATTCATTCTTTTTTTCTCACACTTCTTCCTTTATATACGGAAAACAAAGTAATTTTTGCCAATTTTGCAGGGGATGTAGCTCAGTGGTAGAGCGCATGCTTCGCATGTATGAGGTCCTGGGTTCAATTCCCCAGCATCTCCATTAGATATTATGCTCAAATTTAAAAGGTGTTTCTGCTAAGTTGTTGGGAAAATCTCATGATATGAGGAGCCATCAAATGTACCGTCCAACAAGGGAAAAAAAGCACCAACTATAATTTACCAAGTAAATACCACACCCTTACCTAATTATGTGTGTTCCAGAATTGTTCACATGGCAGTCTACACATCAGCCACTTAGCCAGTATTTGATATTTCCGAAAAGTTGATTTTATTTTCAACATTGTGGGTTGTTGTGGCCGAGAGGTTAAGCCGATGGACTTGAAATCCTTTGGGGTCTCCCCGCGCAGGTTCGAGTCCTGCCAGCAACGAAATTCACCTTAGAGCGCTCCGTTCCGAGCAAAGAGTAATTTTTGAGTATTTTTTTGATCTCCACACGTCAAAGTCCAACTTTGAAAGTCCAAATTCCCAAAGATTTTTATTTAAAGTGATGCATTCAGTCTTCCCAAGTTGGCTTTCTGCCAGTCATAGTAGGTTTTCGCTTGGAAACATCGGCATTCATTCTTTTTTTCTCACACTTCTTCCTTTATATACGGAAAACAAAGTAATTTTTGCCAATTTTGCAGGGGATGTAGCTCAGTGGTAGAGCGCATGCTTCGCATGTATGAGGTCCTGGGTTCAATCCCCAGCATCTCCATTAGATATTATGCTCAAATTTAAAAGGTGTTTCTGCTAAGTTGTTGGGAAATCTCATGATATGAGGAGCCATCAAATGTACCGTCCAACAAGGGAAAAAAAGCACCAACTATAATTTACCAAGTAAATACCACACCCTTACCTAATTATGTGTGTTCCAGAATTGTTCACATGGCAGTCTACACATCAGCCACTTAGCCAGTATCTGATATTTGCGAAAAGTCGATTTTATTTTCAACATTGTGGGTTGTTGTGGCCGAGAGGTTAAGGCGATGGACTCGAAATCCATTGGGGTCTCCCCGCGCAGGTTCGAGTCCTGCCAGCAACGAAATTCACCTTAGAGCGCTCTGGTCTGAGCAAAGAGTCATTTTTTGAGTCTATATCTGTGATCTCCATACGTTAAAGTCCAACTTTGAAAGTCCAAAT